TGTTCCATGGACAAAAAACACCTGTACCTACTCTGCTTTTGTGTGGCACATGTATCCATCGCCATCTCAACTGATATTGCTCAGGCTTGTATTTTTATGATTCATATCTATCTTAGTGCTTTCTAATTCCCATCTCAAACATTCATCCTCCACAAATGCTGTCATTGTGTCCTCTCAACATATTCCACTTCTCGCAAGTAAATGCTTAACCATGGTGGAGGAATTACACAGGGGAGATCAGCAGGACGTAGGACTGCAATGTCATTGGAGGTGGAGAGACAAAGATTTCCCCACTCCCAGGATACAGAATATCCTATCAAACAACCACATAGCATATAACACACATTCAGCTGACCTGATGGAACACCAAATGATGATGATCTGCACAATAATGACTTTGAATCCTTTCACCTTGTCAGTTTTAATTCATGTCTAATTAATCCCTGATACTTCCTTCAAGCATCAGGCAGAAACTGGTTCGGGAGGATGGTAACTATTCTCAGAGGTTGCGTATACTGAGCAAGCACTGTCACATGACTCAAACACAACCTTTACCTGTTCAGATACACACAACTTGTTGTTAGCTTCACTGGAAGCCCATGTGTTGTCATATGATGAGTCACACAAGTGAGCAGGAGCTGGTTTAGACATAGGGACTCCTGGCTCTGTTCTTCTCCACACAAATGCTGGTCTTCAAAGGTCATTAACAAACAGTACTATCCAGGAGCAAAAAATCTGAGAGGTTCTATCTGCATTTCCAGAAACATTATACATCATTGCAAGGAGATTGGAGCAGTCTGAGTTCACTATGACATACATAAGGCATTAATGCTGATGTCCATTCTATGGCACTTGAATGAAATATCAGATGCAACAGGCATTGTAGACCTCAACAACAGCCTGCATACTCAGTCTAGCAGCTTATTTGTGGATGTAGGAACACTTCCCTCTTTGGCATCCTCTTGGAAGTACATCAAAGAGTCCAGATCTTACATAAGCATGGAGGTCTGGGTGAACCTGGAAAGGGAAAATGGAGGACAAAATGGAACTGGAGGCACTACTCAAAGTATTCTTTCTCTTGTCTATCAATCCTCTCGACTGACATTCAATCAGAGTCCCACATGCTGACTCTTAGCCTGATGGTCAAAACTGCCCTTATGCAGGTATAACTGGGACAGTCTTTGTCAGAGGCCTCATAAGCTCCAACCTCCAAAGGTCATTGGCCTTGCATATTTGAGCAGTCAGAGTAGGGAAACAGCAGCCTGCCTCTGGTTCTGCAGAAGTGACAGTGATAACAATATGCTCATGTCGTAAGAAAAGGAATACAGTTCATCCTCATTTAAATTGTCACCATTTCAAGTTAGTTTGATTTAATGATGTTTTCATGGGCTGGCACATATGAACATATAAATTAGGATGAAGTCACATGGGACCTAAAACCTGCTCTGCTATTCAAAACAAGTCTCTAGTATAATTGGTGTAATGTCATCAGTGCTTCGAAAGACTTCAGCTTTCTCTGAATATCATGTAGAGTAAATCAAATTGGATGATTTTTGGTATCTCTGATGCTGAAGACGTGAGGAAGAGACCGAGGTGGATCACCCATTCATCACTTCTTGCTGTAGATCGTTGTTAATGCTTCAGCCTCATGTTTTGCACTTCTGTGCTGGTCTTTTCCACCAGTGAGGGTGGGAATGCAAGTGTCCTCTCTCTGACCACCATTTCCAGCATCAAGGCAGTGGTTAATGTCAATTAGTTGTGCTGGGCAGGCCACCTCAACCATATGCCTGACACAGAACTTCTAAAACAAGCTCTCCATTCTGAACTCTGGTCCAGCAGGTGCCTCTCAGCAGGGCAGAGAAAATGCTTTAATGACATTCTCAAAGCCTCCCTGAAAGCATGCAGCATCCCCACGGATTCATGGTGATTTCCTGCCCAAGACTGCTCAAACTAGAGAAGTAGTATCTGCAAAAGAGCCAACCATCTCGAGCATCTCCAATAGGTGCCGATGGAGGCCAAGTTCAAAATGCAGAAGGAGCGTGCAAACATCGGAGAATCCTATCCACCTGTCTCCTCAAACACTAGCTGCCCCACCTGTAGCAAGGTCTGTGGATCCAGCATTGAACTATTTTGCAACTTTCAGACTCCAAACTCTGAGGTGGAAGAATGTCATCCTCAGTTTTGAGGAACTGCCTAAGAAAGTGGAATTTGAGCAAACCTGTGAAAGATCTTCTGGGAGAGGACGCTAATATTGAAGTGACTATCCTGTCACTGAATTTACAGGACTTGTAGGTGCATTGGTATTGATACATTTCTTGGGATTTGAGATGTCTGCTGTACATTGTCCACATTTCTGATGCATACAGTCAGGCAGTTAGCATTACTGCCTTGCAAACCATGAACTTAGTGAAGAGTCTGAGGCCTCTGGCATCAAACACTCTGTTCCTCAATTGGCCAAAGGTTGCACTGGTACACAGGTGGTGATCTTGGCCATAATCTTTGCCTCCCTGAGGAATTTCTCATTCTGTCTGTCCTCATCAAAAGCATATCGACCAGTTTGGACAATAATGGCGAACAGAGCGTCTGTGATCTGAGAGATGCACTTATATATATTAGACTGGGGAATCTAATGGATATCACCATCTGATCCCTATAATTAGCCATTGGTGAAGAAATTTCAGATTGTGTTAATTGAGATAGCTACTGGCAATACATCCCCATCCAGGTCACTTTGAAGGGGCTCATGTTCCAGAAAGCTCCGGATATCATCAAAAAGGACTAAGTGTCTGAACAACTGGTGTTCACTCACACCCAGAAAGCTGATCCTCTGCTCGTCTCCTCCATGATGTATCACCTGCTGAGAGCTAGAGGTGCGTTTGTCCCTTCTGCTGAGTGAAGGTGAACATGGCTGCTGCACCTTTTGGATCTGTTCCTGCTATTGGTCATATTACTGAAAGCTAATCCCAAGCTTCTGAGAAGGATGAACAGCTAAGAAGTGCAGATCGAAGCAAAGTAAAAGGCCAAGGTAGCAGAAATAAACTCAAGTTTTGGAAAACTCCTCTACAATGTTAAACGAACAAGTCCTGCGAGCAAAAGCATATCGTTTGGGTAAAGAAATAGCGACCATAGCTTTCCAGCCTACCAATTACTCAGCCTCAGTAGTCATCACAGCTCTTTCATTTTGTTGCACTTGATGAGTTATATTTAGTGAGGGAAATCCCTATGTTCCCTGTTAAAGCTAGAAGACACGGTTAAAGCTGATGTCTGCTGGTGTTGTGTTAGTGAGATGCAAGTTCAGGTCCCACCTACCCTGAGGCGTGTCACAGCATGTCAGAACAGGTTAATTAAGTACAATAAATTAAGTACAGTAAAATAAGTACAAGTTAAAGATACAGCCAATATGCTACTGAATATTTAAATCTGATTGGTTGCTTACATGAGGTTTTCTGTGCACTAAGAGAAATGTACTTGCCCCGACTCCTCACCCCCTTCCAGGTTAAAACTCCTCAGATTATTATTGCTGCGGTTATTATTACTTTCCCTGGTTCAAACGAGATTAGCCAATCATATCATTACTATAATTACATGAGATTTCACCTCCTTAATCAAGATATCCTGCCTTTCTCTGACCAAGTTCTATCATTTGAATGAGGTATTAACCAAGGCCCTATCTGCCCCTTCATGATCTTATGACACTATTCAAGAAACAACAATGGAGTTCTTCCAGTGCCTTGGCTCATAGTCAATCAATAAATGATAATAAAATAATAGATTTTCGGGTGATTATTTTGTTGCTGAAATCCTTCCTGATGCCAATGTTGGACATTCTTTCAGGTAGGCACGACACAGTTTTTATTTCAATAAATCAACTCAACTACATTGTTATTAGAAATAAATACACACACCTTATTTGAAAATAATATGAAAGTAAACATAAACTGATAAATAAAGTGCATGATGTCCAAACATACAAGTTAGAAGTTGGAGCAGGCCGCTCAAACCACAAGCCTGCTCCACCATTCAATACGATTGGCGATAATCTCCATACTCCACTTTCCCACCTACTGCTGATAACCTTTCAACCAGTTGCTTAGCGAGAACCTTCCTGTAACAATTATAATGAAGTCAGCCAGCTGGACCTCACATAACAGAGTTTCCTAATTGGGGCTATTAATCTGGTCCAATCTGGGATCCCTGGCTGCCAGATAAAAAGGAGAGTGGTAGAGATGCTGCCACCCTGATAGCTGACTGGGACTGAGGCAGTACTAAAGTCAAGGACTGTCCATTTCACTACCTGCCTATGCCTTAAGAATATTAATTTGGTTATTGTTAGGGGGCCTGCACACCACTCCCACAAGTGATTTTTGCCAGTATTCAAGATCAGGTCCAAAATTAACTTATGATCAGATATAAAATGAATAAATAGCTCCAAAGAAAACAAACTCCTTAGCCCCATAATTTGGCCAATAGTTTGTTTCAAAGGCATTTCATTACCTAATCCATATCTCTTGAATGTTACATTTATGCAATTGTACTTTTCTTGCAAACTCTTGCAGTGAGATATCCATCTGTTAACTGCCAACATATCACAGTGAGAGAAACTCCCAAAGCTCAAAGATGATCGAGCATGAACTCATCTGACATGAATGGTTTTCTTGAAACCAATTTCAATTTTTAAGAACAATGTCCATGTTACAGCTTACATTTTAATTACCAGGAATTTCCCCCTGTTGCTTCTGCACTACTGCCAGAATATTGCCGGATGTGCAGCAGAAACCCTATTTTCCCTGGAACTTTGAGTTTCTGCTCGATTTTCAGCAAACGTCCAATGATAGATTGAGAACAGCTCTGAGGAAATTCTCAATACCTCCTGTTGATTTTTGAAGTGGCTTATATTCAACATGTACTTAGCAATGTATCTTCACAGTTCATTTCATATTATATTTACATCTAAAATTTGTTTTATATTTCAAAATGCTAACAAATCTACACAATTCTACCTGTCACAGGAGCTTCTATATCCAGCATTGTTTTCTCTTGGCGGAGAATGGAAGCTCCTTCATTAATAATTCGAAGTGCTACAATTTCTTCTACTCTTCCCTCCTTGGTGAGATGAGCCTTCAAAAGATCAACCCGTGGCTTGCCATCGCAATCAAATACTTCCTTCATGGTCAGTCGATGGCTTAGTGGAAAAGGAACAGCTGTAACATAAAAAGAGAAACATAGGTGGCAAAAAACAAACGGTATTGTGTACTTGCAACTAAACACAAGTATACATGATATATGGGGTGTATTTTGGGTTGCAAGGTCCCCCTCATACAAGACTATTCCCCCTGTCATTTCTCAGTCTCTCCTAGTCAGTAAGGAGAGTCCCACACAGCACAGAGGCCATGAACATCATGTTTGATGTGCACATCACTGATTTCATCCTCCCCTAATTCATCCTTCTCCTACTAATTCTGTACACGGGATCAGATCTTTGCAGCCTAATTTCTGGGAAACATTTTCTTCTCATGACCATTTAAAAATATCAAGTTTTAAATAAAAGTATTGAGTTAAGTACGGAATTCTTAAAAGGCAATAGCTGGTAGGCACTACAGGAGCATGGCATTAGTGAATCAGCTGCACATTGGCTTGAGCTGGGGTACAACCTTTTAGAACAGTTTCAGCTTCCTGCTGGTTGCCATTGGCTGGATCACCTTTGCACCATGCAGTTAGATAAGGACACTACAATGTGTGTGTCTATGTTGGGAGTTGATAAAGGGGCTTCATGGAGTCTTCTATCTGGGGAACGTAAAGCCTGGCTGAAACATGCCTGATTACCTAAAATCTTCACATTTTACAAAGTAACTTAAAAACAGATTTTATATGTTTCTATAATGTATTGCATATTGATCTATGATCTGCAAGTTTCTATAACTAAACTGAATGTTACTATGCTGTTTCATCAGTTTTTTTTTTGTTTGGTATGCGCAGTAACGTTAATTCTCAAGTGTGAAAGCAGGGTTATAATGGACAACAGCATGGCAACAACTATTATACAGCATCAAATAAATCATCAAAATGACAATTTAAATGATGTAGTACAATAACGTTATTTATAATGTACTGATATTGGGAAGATCAAACAAACTTTCAGGAAGATTTTGGTTGAGAATCTGCATAGTAACAATTCAGATTTTAATATGAAAAATAATTTTGGCAAAAATTATAAAGACATTGCACTATGGTTTCAACTACTAAAGTAAACACTATGGTGTGTTTTGCAACCTAAATATGCACATATTGTTTAGGTTTTGCCCATAAATGAAGTTGGTCAATCATGGTATATCACAGACAGTACAGCAAAGAAACAGGTCATTCAACTGATCTGATCTGCGTTAATTTATGCTTGACACAAGCTTCTTGCTAGATCTCTTCATCTAACCTCTGTCAGGATAGTCTTCTTTTCCGTCATCACATGATGACATCCCCTTAATTCCACCTGCAGCATTCATCTCAAATGCTTACTGCAGTAGTGAGTTCTACATTCTGAATTCCACATTGAATTTATTCGATCACTAACATATACTTATGGGTCCTTGTTTTTGACTCCCGACAAGCAGCAATACCTTACACACTGGGGTACATTTACCACTTAATTAGTTTTAATTCAACTAAAATTCCCTGTGTTTTCAACTATGGGTAGATTTCAAACTTCTACAAGAAAATCCCCAAATGATTGTTGTGAGACATAATGGAATTTCAGTGTTTGTTTTGGCATTTATTTGACTGTATGAAAACAATTATCTAGACTGAAATAAAATACTCTTCAGATTCTGCTAAAATGAATGCTTGTAATGTAATGCTTTAATGATTTATTATCCAATTAATGGAATATTCAGATACAATGAAATATCATAATATAAGAGAGCACATTTTTTTCCTTTTTGGACTATAAACTGAAAAAGAAGTTGGACTGCTATATACATCATAGATCATAGATCACAGAATCCCTACAGTGTGGAAACAGGCCCTTCGGTCCAACAAGTCCACACCGATCCTCGCAGACCTATGCCCCTAATCTACACATCCCTGAACACTACGGGCAATTTAGCATGGCCAATCCACCTAGCCTGCACATCTTTGGACTGTGGGAGGAAACTGGAGCATCCAGAGGAAACCCACGCAGACACAGAGAGAATGTGCAAACTCCACACAGACAGTTGCCCGAGGCTGGCATCGAACCTGGGTCCCTGGTGCTGTGACGCTGCAGGGCTAACCACTGAGCTTATAGCTGAATTATCAGCAGAGTTTTGCAACTTGGAAAAATCAAATGTGCATAATTTTAGCTGTGCAATATAATATTGCTTTTCAAAGCAGTGAGATTGTTATTTTCAGACAGAATGACACCAAGAGTTAGAGGAAGACGACTTGCTCCTTGTCAATATTTATTTTTTCAATTGTAATATCCATGCCAAATCATTTGTTTTCTGTGTGTTGTAATTGTGAATGAGGTTCTGTGGGTTTGGGGCTTCTAAAGGGACATATTTTAAGTTGCATAGTAGTAAACTAGGATACCCTTTCTCTGCAATTTGTTAGATTTGTAGATGACAATAAACAGTTGTTTTCTGTTTATGACAAAACATGGCCCAGCTTTTTGAAAGCCAAGTTATTTGTTTCTGCAGTGTAGACTAAAGCTAATATGCAACTAACTCCTGGTTGTACCAAGGGCCAATTATGTTGATGTACCTGCCACCTTGCTCAATCTCAGTTGGGAACTTCAGCGTTATTGCTTTGCATTTCTAGCTGATAATACAGTTAAAATATATTATGTCAAAGAAATTGCACCTATATATCTGTCAAACCATTGTGTCACATAGCTATACACATAACATTTCAAAATGACTTTCTAATTCAAAATATTCCACAAGTAAACAAGATAAATTCTAATTTTATACATTTCTGCAATTTGTGAAAAATGCTTCTCAAAGGGTTGCATTTGAAAGCATTGCTTCACTCAGTTAAAATATTCGTTTCGAAAAGAATAAATGCCAGCAGCTTGTTCCATGATTGCACTGTTCAGCTATTTTCACAAAAGAGCTTGGAACAAAAACTTAATCTACATATAAATTTAATCCCATACACCCACGCATCCCTAATAACCTAGTGCCAATCTGGAGCTTCTCAATTTACCTTTAGACTAACTAATTCACATAAGTTGGAGACTTCTATGACATGATCAATTATCATAACCAAAAAACTTTCTTGTCTGTCCAACTGCAAAATTATTTTCATGTTGTATGTTTTTGCTGTTTTATACACACACATGTAATTGCTTAATTGGTCTAGATCTTATTTGCACATGTTTCAGGCATAGGTAAAGGATCTACAGAGCCAGATCTTTGAGGCGTCAGATTGAAATCCAGAGGCCAGCACAGGAAATGAGATTGGGTGTGAATTACCCAAAGGGAAAACCCTGCTTCAGCAAGGCCATTTGAAACTGCTGCTGAGTTCAAACAAGCTCCATTTTCACTGTCGCAGCGTTTTAACCCACAAATCATGAATTTACAGAGGAAGCATTAATGCTCTTGAGAAGAAGATAAAGTGTGATAAGTCACATCATTTGAAGGTATTTAAGTCTCTAAACCTTTAAAACTGAAAATAAAATGTTGCAGCTGTCAGTTGGACTTACAAAATAACAGTCACTTTCTGGATTGCATTCATAGATTACCTGGTTCAATTGCCTGCAGTTTCAATAGAATCCATTGATAACATTCCCCAAGCACTGATATTACAGCTGAACCCATTATGAGTGCGTGCCTGAATTTCGAAAGCTCTAAAACATTTACCTCACAAAGAATCTGAGTGGATTGGAGAGAGAAGCAGCTGAGTTCACATTTTTTATTGGCAGTTTAAACAGGCTAATAAAATGGCTTAGCTGTCTTAATGTTATTGCTGAATAGACTTGCCACTTGAAGGATGTAAAATATTTGAATGGGCTTTATGAATGAGTTGTTTTCCTGTATCAAATATTTATCAGTAAGAGTCTTCTTCAGTTGTTGGAGCATTTCTTTCATCTCCTTATAGGTCCTGGGGTCTGCCAACAGTGGATACTCAGTTAATGGCTTTGGAGATGACACTGGGGGGTAAAAGATGTCATGTGGAAATGATAGCAGATATGAAGAGGCTTGGAGGAGTATGAGGGTCAGCTTACATGGGGGTATAAGACGGAATGGAGTCAGGAGAAGTAAGTGAGAAAACATAAGGGGGTCATGGGTATGTCCAAGGGAAGGGGTGAAATCTAGATGGCCCAACAGACATTTATAAAACTAGGACCAATTCTCATAGAATCAAGATGAGACTTTGGACCAACCTGCCTTGGCACTCTCCACCTCTATGCCACACCTTTCTCTGGAAAGAAAACGATGCATGCACATGTTGTTTCCCTGGAGACCAATCTGAAGATTAAAGATTTCCCAACTCAATCTTCGCTCCTCTTTGCCAAAACTCTGGAGCACAGTTTTTGTCCTCGCCCAACATACAAGGTGACACAATTCCAAGAAGAAATTTGCACATGCTAACTGACAGCTATTGTTGCATTTCTAGCTCAGCAGTTTTATCTGGAACAGGTTAGAAGGACACAATTCTATTATATTCTATAAATCTACCAAATATTCATTGAAAGAAGCAATCATCGTGCTTCAACCATTCATGTGGCAAGGTGCCCGGTGCTACAACAGTGTACTGCATTTAAAAGTAGTGACATAAAGCAGGTGGCATTTCTGTTTACATGTCAAGAATCATCTCCCATGTGGTTCAAATTAAAATTTAAAGTGCCAGCAGGGGGCACGGAAGCCATCTGCAATCATGTGGTCATGGAAACTTGAACGGAGAAACCAGCTATCAACTAACAGTACAACATCTGTTGTATGGGAGGACTATCAAATAACCTTCTGGACAAACAAGAAGCTCTGTGTTATGGCCATAAACTCCTGTCCAATTCCTGTGTATATTTTATTCAGTGCAATAGATCATGACCCTCACCAGCTCTCACCCCTGCTCCTCAACCCCCTGTTTCACTCCACCTGACATCATTCACCGCCTTACTATTATATCCAGCCTACTGACATCCAGGTCCCCTAACATTTGGACTAGACAGGGGCCTGTCCTACAGTTTGCAATGCCTCCTTGCAGGTCCTTCTCCAGGCCATCAGGGAAA